CTCAGATACAAAATTTGGACTGGTAACCTACCTAGCTCTACACCTTACTTTACCCATTTTACTTAGCACTTGAAAAAGAATTTTTAAAAAGTCCTGATCTACCTACCCTAGATAGTCTCAACTAAATAGGGAAAATATTTTCTTAGCTATTGGACGAGTTTTAACGGAGCTCAAGAATTTTATTGTTTACTACAGCAAAAAGGCAGAGCGTTGGGGATACCGGAGTTTCATTGAAAAATTTTTCATTGAAAGGAAGTTCATTAAAATTTTAATGAAATTCGTGTGCCATCAGCAACTCTAGGTCACAGCCATTTTGCACAAAATATTTTAATGAAAGTATCGGGGCTTTCATTAAAAATGTTTTTAATGGAAGTTCCGGTACTTCCATTAAAAACAAAACGTTTTAATGAAAGTCACCCTACTCGAACGTTGGAGCTTATTTATAAAAATATTTTTGTAACTCTCTTAACACTTGTCCAATAGCTAAGAAAATATTTCCACACAGATAACTCGACGAGCTCTACAAACGGGCCAGATCAGAATCTGTCACTCGCAGATTCACAGTAGATCTTCCGAGATCAGATTTTGAGAGATCTATTCAGCAAGTTAGAAAAGGCTCGAACGAACATTAAATTCATGATCAGCATCAAAAGTTACCTCGGAAAAACTAGATTTAACCAGAAAAGTTTTTTATCACCTGGGAAGGTTCTCTTGTAAGATACACACTGTGATCTCTACTTAATTCTCGGACATACGACACAGACTCATTAAGCCGATCGAGCAAACCTAGGGGAGGCCAATTCTGTTTCACCATAAAAAATTCTTCTTTAAGTCGACTGAGTGAAACGAGAGGAGAATTATTCAGTATTCTTCTTACTGTCTTTGTTTTCACGTAGTATTTTTGTGTTCGAGTTAGCAAGCCGTTCTCGGTTATCTCTGACCATACACATTTGGCGAAAAGATGACTCGAAAGTAGTTGACCGGTAAGTGAGATACCTAAAGTTAGTTTTCGGATATTTGCTTTACTTACTGTATAATTAGTGCCGCAAAATCAGTATATTTTTTAGATAACTGTATCGTTCTTCCTGTAAGATAATTAATCGTCACGTGATTCACTTCATAGTGAATATATACTACAGTCCCAGGAGAAAAATCTTGAATACAGATCTTAATAAACCTTTAAAGCTGTCTCAAATTTCGCACCAGATCTTTAAAGACCTTCTGCAGACTTACCAAAATCTTTAAAATTCTGAATGAAAAGTAGTGTTGCAAATTTTTCACAAGTTTTACACTAGCTCTGCAGTACTGTGCTGTACTGTATCAACCATACTGTTTAGTCAAACGTTATTATTTGAATAAAACGTGTTTTTTCTCGCATGTTCAGTTTGGCTTTCGACCTAATTCATCTACTGTAGATGCTTTATTGCATGTCACTATAGAATTAGCGAAGCTTTTAGAAAGTAAACAGTTAGCGGTTGGTGTTGCTTTTGATTTTGCGAAGGCGTTCGATCGGGTAAATCATACTGTTTTGTTAGAGAAGATTGCTAGAACAGGTGTATGTGATTCTTTACTTGAATGGTTTAAATGTTATTTAACTAACCGGCAGCAAACAGTAGTCGTAAATAACCAAAAATCTAACGTTGTGCACGTAACTTCTGGAGTACCCCAAGACAGTATCTTGGGGCCTCTTTTGTTCTTGGTTTTTATCAATGACCTTAGTCAGATGTTTCCACCTAATATCACCGCATCACTTTTCGCCGATGATGTGTTTAGTCTTATATCAGTTCAAAATTTTGAGAATTTCACAGAAGTTCAAAACTTTCTTGATTTAATGTCAAACTGGTGCACGAAGAACGATATTGAATTAAACATAAATAAATGCTTTTACATGCCTTTTTCAAATTCTAAACTACCAGAAAAATATCCACCAATTCATCTTTCTGGGAAACAACTTCCAATTGATAAAAATATAAAATTATTAGGAGTATATCTCTCACCGGACCTTACGTGGAAACATCCTTTAGAAAAAACTAACAAGAGGTGTAGCCAAATGTTAGGAGCTTTAACCAGAACTTCTACGAGCGCACCTGGGTTTATAAGGCTTCATATTTACAAAGCATGTATTTTACCTGTTATGGATTACTGTTGTGTTGTGTTTGATAATGATTTCAAAACACATTTAGATTTACTAACTTCAACACACAAATTTGCTGCGCGCATTATAACGAACGACTACCATTCTAGCAGTTCATCTCTTCTTAAAAGGCTGAAGCCTGATTTAGAAAGCCGGCGCAAATACTTTAGGTTAAAGTATTTTCATAAAATGATTATAGGAAGAAGTGCTTTGTCATCTTTTTCACTAGTAAAACCACTAACTATTCGAGCTTCGGCTCGACTTTTAAATCGATGTGCTTGGGAGGTACCGAAGTATAAACGAAAAAACACAAGTTCGTCTTTCTTACCTAAAACAATTTTACAGTGGAATGTGTTGCCAAGGGAGGTGATTTCTCAATTTTCCATTCTAGCCTTTAAACGTGCCTTAAGAAAACATTTAAAGTTGTAACAACGCTGTCTTATAAGCCATATTTGTTTTTAACTTTTTCTTTGGAAATTTTGCTTATTTTTCTATACGATGTGACTTAGTCAAAGCTCTTTAGAACTTTTTTGTCATCCCTGTCATTTAACATCGTGACTCAATAAACGCTAAGACATTCTCATTGTCTATTGATATCCATATAGACATGAAGATTTCTTAATTTCTTCACAGTGCGTGCTGATTATTAATACGTGTGATATTCTTATAGTTACCGTTCTCTCACTTTCTTTGTCCAAATATGGAACTAATTTTCCTAATTAGTAATTATATTACTGAGTTCAGAAAAGTTGCTAAATCCTGTCAAGATCTTGATGCAGAATTCTGAAGATACGTCAGAAGACTCGGAACTGTAGTAAATCTGGATCAAGGTCTTGACAGGATTTGTTGATGTATTTCAACTTGATGTTCTTCAAAATTCTGTATCAAAATCTTGATCAAGAACTTTCAAGGAGCAGAATCTTTAAAGAACTTGTGCAGATTTTCACTTTCTGCAAGATACGGAAGTGCTTGATATGATGAAAGCTACAGTAGAATGTATAATATCGTAATGAATTAGCCGATATATCAACGTGGATAATATGCCGTAGAAGATACGTAGACAATTATGACTTTCTGGATGTTCTAATAGCGCCTGTTTACCGTTTCACTTGTTAAGTAGAAAATCTTAAGTTAAAAGCAATATTTAGTTCTTAATTAAATTGAAAGTTGTGTCTTATAAGCATAAACTGTAAAAAAGTTCCATTTTGTACACTATGGATTTAATGAGTGATTGAGTTTTCTCCTCCATTGTTCTTGTTTTCATTCTTGCATTCATGGTCACTGTAACTTTTCTGCAAGAGAAATGCAGCTTCTCAGTAATACAGTGAGAAGAGAATTGAAGTTATTTTATTTAGTTAATTAAGATAAGTATAAATGCTTCGAAAAATTAACGTACATTTTCTCACCCTGCAAAATATTGGTCAAGTACCAATTCGTTTGTATAAGAAAGCTACAGCAATTACAAAATGATCATCTGATTTATCTAACAGCTAGTGTTCCGATGGCATTATTCAAGCTTTTTGTAGCTTTGTTTAAACGCGTTGTTATATAAATAGACCATAGAACGATCTAATCCAAGATTTTATGTGACGTGCTGCTAGTTTTAAAAACATTCCTTGCAATATGGTTTTCTTTTCAACAAGATTTTGTAGCAATTCGTTAAGATCTAAATTCATACATTTATGATACTGAAAAATACAATTTGTACCAGTTAAAGTATTTAAAGAAAATATATTAAACACTAATTGTAAAATTTCTTTCTCGTTATGAATAAAACCTTGATCTTTTTCATCTGCTGTTAAAGCACAGCCGAACAATAATAAAATAAAACAGTTAGACAAATAAAATTTTTCATATTTCCCTAACAATACAAGTACACTGTTGTGGGCTTATTACTTACTATCTAATAAACTACCAGAGTAGACATGTCAAACTACCATTATACAATATATCTACGGTTTAAGAGCCACAGCGTCGAATTCTTGACTTTGAACGCTAGGGAGAATTTCAAAATATCAACGATTCAGAATCGTCTTTTTGAATTTTAAAAGATGTAGCATTTCAAGAATTTATTTAGTTATTATGTAAAAAAGACAGCTCAATAAGGAGAGGGAAATTTTGTCTCTAATCGATTCCAAACTTAAACTAATTCGAATCGGCAATAAATCTGGTTGATATGATCAATATGTATATTTTCCTTTACCAATTCCTTTACTATCACTTACAGCCATCTATTCCGATGCGATGGGATCTTCGTATTTGAGGCTATGTATAATCTATACATATATGAACTCTCGCTAACATTTGACAACAATAAAAAGAGACTAAGATTAAACCATGAAATTTATCGAAGTAATATCTGTCCGTCAGGTTAATGAATTCGGCGCGAACAATAAACGCGAACAAGCGTTAGAACGACGTAGTGATGATATAATAGAACGCCTTGCATTTGGTATTCAAAATATGTTAGATATATTTAAAATTATTGATAATATTATGGATGATGACGAGGCGAATGGTAATAATACAATAAAACTTAATAGAATAACAAAGGAAGCAAGATAAACAATAATTAAATCAAAGAAAAATTTCTTTATTATAATAATAGAAATGATGGTTCACATAAAGGTTTTAAAAACGATGATCGATATGATGTAAATTTATTTGATTTAGAAATAGTTATAGTTTAGTGCTCCAATTACTCCGATCATAATTTTTATAGCTTCTCTAAAGTATTACCATCATACTACAGTTATCCCTAACTTGCAGAAAGGCTAATTTCACTTAGTGTAGGTTAGTATAAAAAGTGGAAATATTGATGGAAAATAATATTGTATTTCTTTGTTGAGTAAAATGTGTTCCAGCATTAGTGTGGTTTTAATTGTTTCTGTAATTTCTTTTGTTCTTCTACTAATTTGTGTCTTTCTAATAATTGTTCATCTAAAGTTGTTGAAAGATAACTCAAATGACCAAGATGCTCTATTTCAGTTTTAAACGGATTATGTATAATGTTATAATGCAGACGTTGAAGACGTTTTATACTTTGTTCGATTGATCCTATTTGTCTTTCCTTTTCTCCCAGACTAATTAAGATTTCAGCTTTGGTCATTCTCGGTTCTGATGAAGATGATGTTGTGTTTGGTTGTTCTACTGCTGAAGCAGATTTTATTGTGACTTCTTGATCATCTGATTGTTGTCGATTATTCTCTGCAGACAAACAACAAAGCTAAATGATACTTGGATTATAGGGCTTACCCAGTAAAAGATATTGCGTCGTAGTAAAATGTGTCTCATCTCCTGTGAGAAAACTGTGTCGCCGTTAATAGGAACTTTTACACAGTTCTTGAGGCCATTTGAGGATCTACTCTGTTAAAAAATTGCTAAATTTTATGTTTTACTATTTTCAGCAGTCTCCATTAGGATTTGTCTCGGCTTCTCTTCAATTTTGATGGGGTATAGGTGGCGCTAATACGTAAAAGTTAACAAAATTTACGGACCTTTTAAGTTCCTTTAATTTTAAATTGATGTTATTTGTGGATAAAGATCCCTGTCTAAGCCTTTTTAACCTTTTCTCTATGTTAAACATTTTCTCTGTGACGGAAAAGAACTAATCCGAAGCCTTGACTACGCTATTAATTCCAGATCTCGACAACTAAATATTTTGAAGGTCTGCGAATATTACGGACGGATTGAGCGTTTTTTCAAACAATGAAACAGACAGAAAGAAAGAAAGACACTTTTCCCTTCTTTTTCGGGCCATGTTTTTTCTTTTTAAATATTTTGTTAATTTTCTACTGATTTTAATCGATTATCGAGTGTCACAGAAGTTTTGCAGCATCTCATGTTTTTCAAACCCTACTGAATGTACTTGGAAGTGGATACTTGCTTACTTACGAATTTTCACCGGTACTTGAAAAGCACTTAACAAGTATTTTCAAAAAATACTGCTCGATAACTGCCTGAAAGCACTTGTCAGATACTTGATTTACTTGTTGAACCTTCCACAGGTACTTGGGGGTTGCTTGGGCAAGTGCGTGGCAAATGACTTGACAAGAAGATAAAGTAAGTCAAGTGCTTAATATTCTTGGCAAGTACTTAGTTTACTTGCAAAACAGCACAATAACGTTGGTCAAAACTTGCGCGGGTACTTGTACATCCCCACCTCTCACCTCACACTGCAAGAAATATCCAAGTGTGTACGGTGAAAAATTCCCAGAGATGGCGTTCGCGGAAATGTCGGTATATCGATTTCAACAGGCCAAGCACTTCGATGGAGATACGCCGACATTTCCGCGAACGCCATCCCTGCGAATTTTTCATAGTACACATTCGGATATTTCTTGCAGTGTGTAGTGAGAGGCGGGGATGCACACAGTTCGAGAAAATACGCCGACATTTTCGCCAAACTTCTTTACCGCAACAACAGACCCCCACGACGCTTCTACAAATTTACGAAAATAGATTTTAACGAAACACCTGCTGTTACTGGTGAATCTACTCGTTATTAAAATATGATTACAACCTTATCTTCAACTAGTTAGATATCAGATAAGCACTTGAAAAGCTGAAGAAAATTCAAACGACCTCAAAAGAATATGTTCTGTGTGAAACTACTTTCGAAGTCACTCTCACACTGCCCACACCCCCGACCGCCTACCACGCACTGCCAAAAATACCCAAATGTGTACTACGAAAAATTCTCGGAAATGTCGTGTCAGGGCATAATCGATGTTGTATCTGGGCTGAAATATTCGAAAAACATAAGATGTTGCAAAAATTTGGTGACACCCGGTATATTATACAGAAGAATAGAATAATAATAATAATAGAAGAAACTTCAGGATCTATCTGAGCATGTTTCTAAGAAGCTAACCAGCAGACACCTGATACCTAATCAACCGATGAGTACAGAGAAATCAAACAATATAATGAATTCATTTCTTTTAAAACACATTAACGACAATAAATTTGATGAAACGAAGACACGTTGCGAATGACTATACAACAAACAACTAGAGATGTTGACACACTGAGTAAAATAAGCCATTTTTGATTATTTTCATCAAAAATTAAAAAGTTGATAACTCAGACAAAATCCATGCAACCTACTTCAGAATCTCGGGAAATACTCTATTTTATCTGCTGTAAACCGTAAAGCTCAATAAATGTAAAACCAACAGAAAATATTTTGGTTGCTAGACAGGTTTCCCAGAAACCTTAGAAACTAAAGGAATATTTTTCATTGATTTTACGTACAGAATCAGAATGAGCGGAAATTTGCTGTGATTCTGAAGTGGGTTGGATGGATTTTGACTGAGTTATAAATTTTTTAATTTTTCATGAAAATAATCAAAAGTGGTTGGATCTTTCCGTGCAGGTCCGCCCACTATGAGTTGATTCTGATGGTGAAGGAATTTTGTCTCGATCTAACTTTACATTCGAGTGGTACTCAATCTACTTGAAAAATTCCTGAAGTTTGACCCGGATTTTCTCTTAAACGCTCCCAAAATTTTTCGAGATTTTTTCAGAATAGGAACTACTTAGTAGGGTCTATAACTTTGTCCATGTTAGGGTTCGTTCTTTCTATGTATAAGACCATCGTTTATTAACAAACAAAAAACTTATCCTTTAACAATAAAACTCGATCTATTTATACGCGCAATAATCTTGACTATAGTCTACGCAATAACCTTGAATATTCTTGCACCATAGCCTTGAATATTCTAGCGCAATAACCTTGACCACAGTCTTGCACCATAAGCTTGAATATATTCTTGCGCAATAACCTTGAGTATGATCTTCTCCCTTATGGCACGCCTCTAGTACGTGACATAACACCTCCCTCCCTGCAACAAGATGAACTTCCACGTTCATCGAAAATTAAATGCCTCTTGAAGGTCCTTTGAATGTTCAATGTTCCAGTACTGCCACTACCACTATCACTGAGTCACAAGTTCGATTTGAGCACGTTCATTTCAGCAAACTGAAACTTGAAATTTCCAGAAAACCCGTTAAAACCTTGCTTCATGAAAAGAAAACGGAGCTGCTATGACTTTATATTCTTGTTCAGCATGAAGAATTCAATGTACTTTGACGTTTGTATAAGAAAGCTACAGCAATTACAAAATGATCATCTGATTTATCTAACAGCTAGTGTTCCGATGGCATTATTCAAGCTTTTTGTAGCTTTGTTTAAACGCGTTGTTATATAAATAGACCATAGAACGATCTAATCCAAGATTTTATGTGACGTGCTGCTAGTTTTAAAAACATTCCTTGCAGACGTTGAAGACGTTTTATACTTTGTTCGATTGATCCTATTTGTCTTTCCTTT